GCTCATGATCCCTGCCTCGACCACAAGAATCAGTGCGGGCTTAGAACTAGGTTATCGGAATGCATCCTCGCGCCGTGAAGTGCTGGGCGCTGCCTCTCACTCCCTGTTGTGCATGCTTTTGGTATCTCTCGATAATTTTCGCCATTCGAGTCAGAAAGGTTTTACAGGCGGCCTGAGCCTTCACTGCTCGGAGGTGAAGCATACCCTTCATCAAGTGCTGCGGCGTGTGGACTCAAACGGTGCGGCCTGACCGATGTTCGACTTGAGCGACAGGAGTGCGTCAGAGCAGTTTGTTGAGGTAAGGTTTCGACTCAAGCGTTGGCGACAATTCGTTTAGGAGTGAGGCCTCCTTCCAGAGGGGCCGTGGCTTTGGCTAAGGATGGCTACATAGACAAAGACGAGCTGTACTATGTTCTGGACCGGGTTGGCACATTCAAGAAGGCTAAATGGCCGCTCTCCCAGCTGACAGGAAGAGCAGTAGGCGGATTGCAGGATGAGGTCACGCACACGACGTAGAAATAAGAGGCGCGTTTCGGAACGACAAATGCCCGAGCACAGAGCCAGAGAGAAGTCTCGGTGTGCCCCCAGAGGTCCAACTTGCACGAGACGTTAGACAGGCTGTTGGCAGGCCAGTTCATTGAGCAATGGGTAGGTTCTACAGAAGTGATGAACAAAGCTTTCTTTTCTTGCTGCAAGTTTTGCACAAGCTCTAGCGCCTTCGTACTGTCGTGTGAGATGAGATCTAGAGTCGCCAGCTCCTTGCAGCGACCCAACAGGTTTGGATACCAACGGAGATGGCTTTGTGGCATCTTGGAGGCATTAGGTTTCGGAGATGCAAGCAAACATGACAGTACAAGGACTACACTTACTGAATGCCCAACCCTTGTGCTGACATGCCACATCAGAATATGCTTTCCAAGCAACAATAGTGTTGCGCGGAAGAAAAGCATCAACAGCATCACATCGCGAGTTCATCAAAGCTCCGCGACTGCTGTTCCCTCGACGGCATGCGGTTCGAACTGCGACTACCAATGCTGGGATTTTTTTGTTTTAGTGCTTCAAAAGCCAGTTCTCCTGCTTTTTCCAGTTGAGCCGAAGAAGTTGTGTCTTTCTTTCTGCAACCTGTGCGGGCGAAAATCCCGTGTTGCTGCCAGCACCAGCAGGGCACAAGATCTCAAGAAGACTCCCTGAGGCTAGTCAGCTTTTTTCGCACGAAGTGGAGTGCAGGTAAAGAACACAAGACTAAAGCTTCCTGAAATGTTGAATTGCAGACGTGTTGGGGTTCGGCTCGGTGCGAGCGCGTCAATGCTTCGTTGCACATGCCCTAAGGATGTAGACGAGTTCCTCGACTGGGTGTTCGCCTCATCCGAAAGCGTGGTGTGCTCTTGTGAGCTTTACCGTGCCTTAGAGAACATTCCTGGCCTCCAAGGTGCTGCTGGACAAGACTGAAGTATCATCGCTTCACACCGTGCAGACGCGGCACATTTTCCTTTCAGCAGAGGAACCAAGTATGAATTAGCCATATTCTTCACTGCAGTCAGTATTGTTGGCAGGAATCGTGATTTTGCCGGCGGCAGATCTAGTTTTTTTGTCAGCCAGCCATCAGCGGCGGTGCGACTAAACTTAAGCCATGATCGTGCACTTGCACCCGGCCCAGGACGAGGCGCGGATGGCAGCTTCTTCGCAAAAGCGAACATCACATGCTGCTTATCAGCCTCAGTCTCGGTTGGACACAGCAGCTCAGGAACGGATTGCCTTGTTTGACTTGGAATGCCAGGCAGGCGCTGCCAGTTGTTTTAGCAGGCTACTTGCAGCATACCACATAAGTATACCCGATATAGGCGAGGTGAGAAGTCCCTCTGAACATAACAGACGAATCTTCAAGCCCCAAAAAGCATGCTGAGCGGCTGCATTGCTGAACTCTGAACTTTTGGTTTCGGAAAGTGTAGGTGATCGATCTTCCTGGGGTTCCGCAAGGGTCAGTCAGCCGGCAGTAGTTATCGGATCGGGCATCGGTATGGCCCGCAGTCAAGGTACAAGTAGTTGAGAGAGTGCCGGCACAGGAAAACAACGGCATCCTTGCCCAAGCTGGACTCTGTAACTTTCCCGCACAGCCATCTCTTGCGGCAGACGTTGGTTCTTGCAAACCGGGATTATAAATTCTCAAAGTTTCCTTCGTAGAGGCGACGGCTGAACCCCCGAGGCGAGCTCACGGATCCGAAGCTTCTCCTGCTCTCGGTGGGCTCCTCCTCCACACAGGAGCGCCTTTGGGAGCGGAGCGGAGCCTCTCTGGCTCTCGCTTCCTCTGGCTGATTCTCTTTGTGGCAATTGCATTCAGGCATACGATGCTGCTGGCCTGTCGGTGTCTGTGCCGACAGGGACCAAGGCATGTCCTGCAAATTGCTTCACACAGCTGCTCTCAATGTGAGACTTTTTAGAGTACTTGAACTGATGCTCTCGTGGAGCGAGGAGAGGGTCCTGGCAAATCGTGCAAGCTGTGCAGGTCGTCAATGGCCAAGCCTTGCAAGATTTGATCTCAGCTATTAAGCAGCCAGCGCTGGCTTACCAGCCTCTTGCCTACATTCAACCGAGCCGAATCGTGGGTGCAGTGTGGGTGCCACTCTTAGACTAACTTTGTCATGTGCTTGGATGCCCTGGCAGGGAGATCGTCCTGATCAACTCGATTGGGTATTGATCCTTGCTTGCATTCGTCCGCTAGTGCTGGCATGTATACACTGACTATATTATGTTATGCTGAGTGTGTCGAGCTCTAAAAGCACACAATGTCCGGCTTTTTCCTGCGTTTTGGAATCCCTGCGCTGCCATTTCATGCCTTGAGTCCTCTGCCCTGGTCAGCGCTCAAGCCGAACGACCCCGTCCTCGTGGACCTCAAAGAGCTTGCCGGAAGAAGTCCAGAGAGCGCTGCTCAACGCTTTCACGTTGCTTTGAAGGAGGCCGGGCAACGGTGACTCCTCAAGATGACAGCTCGCACGCACGACCCAGAAGCCATTGCGGAGGCCTTCCCGTTGGCGCAGACACGCGTGTACAACCGAGCGAAGGACACACGTTTTAACAAGCATGCTCTAGCCTTGTTGTCGAAGGGCTGTCCATGCAGTCTTTGCACAGGACCCCCAGACCAAGCGCTATAAATTTCCTCAGCTTCTCAATGATTTCAGCTTGTCGTTGACCAAGGCGGGTCGGGATGGGCACGCACATTGAAATGAACATCTAGTCATCTAAGCTCATGTTTATGTGTAATTTAGTTTGCAGTCTGACATGTCGTGCTCGCCAGGGCTGCGGCTTACCCGAAGAAAGTTTTGTTTACGCCTCAGCGTTAGCACCAGTGCGAGCTGGTCTCACGTGTCGCGAGCCTTCAGAGCGTGATTGAGGACTTCCATCCGGACATCATTGTGGATTGGGGCGGGTCATCTTACAAGGTGTTCATGGATGGCAAGCGTATTGGGACCGAGGTCGGACATGCGCTTGCAATTGTAGACTGCGAAAGGCCGTGTCAATGTGAAGAAATGGCCAGGTCATGGATGCGAATGCATTTCTTTGCGACGGAGACACTCTCCTAAGGGACCGCAGCCTGGCAAAAAGATTTCGGTGAAGATCCCTGTGTTCCTGTGAGTTGTGGTTAGGTCTCCCGATTGCAGTCAAAGAGATTGAAGCCTGTGTTCTAGCCCTCCTACAAAGAGAAATGCCGGAGCGCAGCGCCCACAAGAAGGCAGTGCGGGACGGGATGGCTTCTTCCTGTTTCTCATTGTGCACATTCTGGAGAATGCCCTCAGGTTCATGTTTGAAAACGTCCCATTATGTTCGATTGGGTAGTGGGACGATGAAATTCGGCAACCAATATTTCCAGAATGTTCGGCTTGAGGCGGATAGGGCATCGTCGCATAATCGGAAACGGGTGGCCCGAATCCCAAGTGCCAAAGGGGCCCTTTCCCACAGAGGCTTCCTTGTGCTTCCTTGCTGCCAGATCTCCCCTTGCGCCGTGCTTCGAGAGTGTCATGGTGACCGAAGTGCATTCCAGATCTCTAAATAATCTCAAGCTCTCAAGCCGAAGCCTACATCATAAGACCTACATCAAGTGATCTGGATCCTAAACCCTACAATATCCTACAATGCTTGGTGTAGCATGCTAAGTACGGAAAGAACAGCGTCTTCTGGAATATGTCGGCTGCCACACAACAGCCCTGGAAAGCGTTGTCGTGGACGAAAGCTCGCATACGGCGTTTGCTTCCGATGCACTGTGCCAAGACACAGGGTCATGAGACGTGTCCAGGTTTCTTCGTTTTCTTCTTCAGGGTGCGTGAGTCGCTCCACTGTGGTCAGGTGCTGATTGCACAAACCGGAAAGGCGCGTGAGCTTGCAATGCGAGGGTGCAAAATTTAGTTCTCGGTGTGAGAGCTACTGATCCTGGTTCTAGTGTACACTATCGGATTCCCGGTGCACGTCATGTGCGGTTCAACAAGCGTTCCGCACGTGACTTTGATTTTTTCGTGATACCACCTTCCAAAGGCAGGTGGTGAAGTCTCCCATGACCATTAGATGATGCCAGAACACAAATGAAGAACCATTCCGCTAGGTTACTCTGCATAACTTCTGTGGGCCATGGGTCATTGACCTCTGCGAGGCCTGAAACTCCGAAGGGTTATCGCCAGAAGTCCGAGAGTCTCACGAAGTTTGTGACAAAACAGCATCACAGCAAGCTTCCTGCTGGCGTCTACTGGTAGCAGGGGTGCCCTTGGGTATGAGATACTAGTATGAGTCGTCCAGGAGTCCAGGCTGAGACCGCCTCTGGCTCCGGTCCAAGCTCAAGCGGAACACAACAGGCATGTCTAGAATCTAGAGAACGTGCATGGGCAACCTGCCTGAGTCCCCGAAACAACGCTCGAGTTTGCTGGGCTGATAGTATCTGTGTAGAGTATAGTCGCACAGAAATTGTACGATCAACGAGTGCTTCAATTGAGATGGCTCGCCCGGCTTGTGAGCAAATGTTCGATGCTGAAGTGATCTCGGAGGCTTGCTCGCAGATGGAAGCTTGCAGAGACATGTTACAGTCTTGTGTCATCAGGCGTTGAACTTTTGCAATGAGCGACTTGCCATTTGCTGTATTCAGAACGATTCGTCACCAAGAAGCCCTCAGCGCGGCCTGCATAACGTTAAGGAGCTGCGGAAGCAGTTCGATGCTGCGGACAAGGACGGATCTGGCGAAGTTGACGCGGAGGAGGCCCCGGTTGCAGCACTTGCTTGAGCTTCCGATGCCTTCAGCCGCCTGACACTACTCATGAAGTTACAGACTTGCTGAAGTTCTCAAGGGAGAACCTTGAGGAGCCCTGTGTGCTGCTCTCACATGAAACATTTCTCTTTCGCAACTCGACGGATTGCATGACTGCCTTCACATGACCATACGGCACAGCGGAAGCAGGCCTGCAGACTCTTCGCCAGAAGTTGTGACGAAGCGGCAACGGAATCTCGTTTGCAAGCAGTTCTAGCCCAAGGAAGACTCGTGTGACTAGACAAAAAGGTAGGCAGCATCCACAAGCGAGATGTAGGGCAATGTAGGGCAGAAGACCACTTCCCCGGTGGACATGGAACCGGGTACGGTTGATGCTGATTTTGCTCGCTAGCAGCATGTGCTGGTTCAGGATGAAGAGATACACAAGACAGCCGATGCACTGCGCCAACAGCTGGATACCGATCGTTCAGGCAGATGCTGCGTTTAGCAACGAAACTTGAAGGTTGCTTGTCTGCCTTCGCAGGCACGATCTCCTTTGACGAGTATTGCTTCCGCTTCGGCCGTCGGTACCAGATGGAGCTGAATCGTCGCAAACGCAACAGAGCCTTATCTGCAGCTAGCGCTCTTGCCGTCGCCGCACTTGCCGCATCCATGCTTTAGTTTGTAAGGCCGCTTTGCTCCCTCCAATGGCGTGCCGAAGCAGGACACAGCTTCAAGAAACCTGGACGAGGATTTTACGGCCGTCGGAAGGTCATTAGGACGGGTCGCATAAGAGCCCCTTCGGTGATGGAGGAGCGAGAAAAGCTGGAAAAGGAGCGTGAAGCCATCAGGCCGGTGTTTACGATGTTTAGGCTTGTTTGCCGGTCTCTGCACTTTGCCCGGGCTTTGGCCTCGAAGAGTCCTGTTACATCTTGCTTTTTCCAGGCAGGAGCGCGAGCGACTGCAACTGGAGAAAGAACGTGAAGCGTTGAGGAAGGAGCGTGAAGCCTTAGAGCGAGAACGTCAGGCACCTTCACTGTCACTTGCGGTCAAAGGGTCTTGCGACAACATCCCCAAAGAACTGCAGCTGGCAAAGTTTGAGCTCCAGGCATCAAACACCACGGGCAGCTCCAGCTCCGCTCAGGTGGCTTGTGCCAGAGAAGTGACTGGGCGTCTGTGGGGCTTTGGGAATCGGACTCGCGTGGCAGGTGCTGGGTCCCGGCATGCGCGTGCGAATCCAGGGTCTTCGTGGAGCTCCAGAACTGAATGGCTTGGAGGTCGGAAGCGGGGCGGAGACTGTCCTGTCCCACTCTGATTGTAGCCATTCTGCAATGTTCTGCATACTTTTGGCCGACTTCCTCCGCCCACTGTCTCAAGCTGTGAACTGTGCACCCGGCAGCGCTTGCAAACCTCGGGAGCCAATAGTGGAACACACATGAGCAAACGAGGGTGGATTTGCATGAACGTCACGTGTCCAGCCCATTGACAATGATCAGGAGGCTGCATGCATGCCTGCGGGAGACCTGAACCACGCGCGGACTAGTACCAAAACAGGGCCGTGAATCAGAAACTGCGCATCGGAAATCAGGTTAGGCTAGGTAGGGTGGAGGGCGTTGGGGATTGGGGTGGAGGGTAGGATGCCAAAGGTGTCGGGGCGGGGATCCAGCTGGCAAAGCTGGCAACTTGAGTGGACTTTACCTAGAGGATTCCTAGATGAGCACCTCAGTGTGAGCGCTTGAGGACTGGGGTACTAGTAGCTTGATAGCAATGAGAGCCAGCTCCTTGAAGGCGACTGTTGTTCGATTGGATGAGGCTGGTGCTTTCATAGACGCTGACGTTGTATATGTGTGGTAAGTTACCGAAATCACAAACGTTGCGCTGCAGGCTTCTGGACGATATGTTGTCGACATCGCCGAGGGCAGAGGGCCGCAGCTTAACCGCTCTACGTTTTCATCTAGGTTCAATGGGTCGTGGCTGTATGTAGCTGTGACGTTTTGCGGGAGGTAGTCTTTTGCGGACTACGGTGGCCAGACATTCCAATCTTCTCTCTCAAGCTGCAGCGCCTGAGGAAAAGCCTGAAGGATTCGAATTTGCTTCGACTTGGAGCAGAGCAAGCGGGGCCCCGCGGGCCCGGCGGGCCCGGCGGGCCCGGGCTGTCTGTGGCTCAGATTTTTTCGATATTTCTCGTGGGCCGTCGGTAAATTTCGGCTGCATGGTGTTATTCTTGGCCAAGGGGCCAAAAGGTGACAGACCTGGCGAACAGTGCCTTCCGTGACTTGGCCCTTGCAGGCTGGTGGTCTTGTCTTTCCATGCCAGAGCAAGTGTATAAGGTGGGCTACAACGTGGCTGTGCCCACATGCAAGACTCTAGTCCGCAGCAAGTCAGGGGGTACCGTGCCCTCACATTGTCGCTTTCTCAAGCTCAGGTGTGGCTCGCCAATTCTGGATACACTTGGTGGCAAGTCCTACTGGGTGTGGCCGTAGCTCCCAGCCTTAAGCTTTGGCACCGTACTCAAGAAATCGTGCTGCAAGCCCGCCCCGATCAGGTTGTGCTGATCGTCAGCGCTGTGATGCAGGCCGGCTCCAGGCACAGTGGAAGGAGACCTGATTTGCAAATCGCCTTGAGCCAATCAGAGCAGATCTCGGGCTTGTGCATACGCGACAGGAGAACACCATCGTCCTTTCAAAGCCGAACCGATGGTGCAGACTTCTCCGAAGAAAGGACATATAGGAACGAACGCCGACGCTCGGCTCCACAATCAAACATCATTAAATCGAGTTTCTCGGATTGTGGTTTAAGACTGATTTCAGCTGTTGGCGACAAAGGTGAAGAGCCCGCGCATCACCGCAGAACAGCCAGATATGAAGAAGATGATCTCGGATCCGGCCTTATGCCGGTGTGTAGTCACGTCTGCAAAGCTCCGAGCAGCGTTTTGGGAAGTGTATCTGCCCCCTGGCAGTGGATCGCTCTTGCTTGCACTCTTGACTGATGTTTCAGGCTACTCCGACTACGATGACTCCTGGAGCAGTGGGATAGGTTTCGGAGGGATGCAGCCACTTCGGCAGCACTGGTCGGATCACGTGATCACGTCAGGCCCTGCGTTTTGCCGGGCAGCCTTGATGCCAGGAAGTACCTTATCATCGGTGGTTTGATCATCTTATGCTGGAAGGGCATTATCCCCGTGCACCGCATGGAAACTTGGTCTGCTGAGACGTAGCGTTGCTGTGCTGTAAGAACCCTCAGCTCTTCCTTGGCTTTGCCTTAAATCCCTGCATGCCATTGCTAAGTTTCACGGTGGGCAGGCCAGGTGAACTTGAAATTCCATGTCGCATGCCATGTCTCACTGCAGGTCTCAGCCTCAAGCTTTCGTTTGACCCCCCACTGTTAGCTCGAGAGGGGGGCGACAGCAATGCTGCGACCTTGAAGGGGATGGAAAATTCTGACCTGCGCTGCATCTTCAGTCTCTTTTCTCGCGATGTCGTCAGGCAGCAGTTCAGGAAATCCCGCTCGAGTAGCGCTTCCCTTGCAAGCTTGCTTAAAGGCTTTCTTGGTTAGCGAATGCGACACAAAAGAGCGTGTTGCAGCTTTGGGTACGCGTTTGGCACTGAATGGCATCAACACATTGCGTGATTTTGCTTTTGGGTATTCACCCGAAGAGATAGCGAAGGTTGATTCTAAGCTTGGTCCTTTGCAGAGGATTGCGGATCTGCAGTTGTCTCGGAAGGCGACAAAGGATGGGTGCATTTTAGCCGACAGTCCTGGCACTCCGCAGTTGCATGGCAGGCACGCCAAGGTCTCTCGCCTGGTATCTCCTGTGCCAAACAGTGTCGAGATCGCCCAACCCGTGCCGGTACCAACTCTGCCTACAAGGTTGTCTATTGTTCTAGACACCAACGGGCGTGATTGCAGCAAAGCGTTCGATCTTGCGGGCAAGCTCGTTGACATTTTCCTCCAGTCAAACCAGGCGTCAACTTTGTGGGCCACGTATCGTAGTCTGCCCACGTCGTTGTTGCAGGGGCAGTGGCTCAAGTCCTTGCAGGACCATCTGGCGGACTTTGATTACCATGGTCTGGGACAGGTGGTAAGCACTTGGGACAAATGGTCCACCTGGTGTAGCTCCCATGGAGCGAGTTTGTTCGCCCCTGATCCTGTAACCATGAGTTCATTTATACGGGAATCGACTTCCACGGCGTCGGGTGCGACATCGCTGCGAAACAGGCTGCGCTTTCTGGAAATTCATCTCGGTTTACGCCTGCATGTGGCTGATGTTGCAGTCCGACGTGCTCTTCGTGATAAAACGGCTGCACCGCGGGTGCGTGCCGTTTTAGTTCCGCGAGATCTCCTGACTTTTTGGTGTTTTGCTACCAGTGGAAACAAACTGGTTGCATACTTTTCGAAGTTCTGCCTCATTATGGCCTTGGGGAGCCCTCGCTTTCGGCATGCTCAGCGCTCCACATTGCTTGAACTCAAAGCTGATGGCGCGGTCTTTCTGGCAACTCGAGGAAAGGTTCGAAAGGACGGTTGTGCAGCGCCCCCTTTCCATTGGTACGTGCCAGCTCTACATTTTTGCAAAAGCAAGCTCGACCTCTTGCCGACTTTTGCAGCGGAGTGGCGTGCTGTTGCTGGGAATTGTTCTTACCTCATGCCAGGCATCAAGGGCACCTCGCTGTTTGAAGCATCGGAGTTTACAGGCAGTGATATGGCATCATCTCAGTTCTACTCTTTCCTAAATCAGTTAGTGTCTTCTGTACCACTGAAGCACTGGCCGGCACGACAGGGTCCGCCAGTTGGGGCAAGGGCGTGCAGAAGACTGATGCCAACCGTTGCTGACGCAATCGGCATGGACATTCCCAGCCGCTACGCTCTGGGAAACTGGGCCACCCCTGAGGGGGCACGAGGCAGTAGTAGCTCCGTTATGCCGTTGAGATATGCTAACGAGAAGGAGGCTGCTGCTTTTGCAGCGAAGGCACGTTGTGCCGATGCTGTGGTCGATGCCTTCAAACTGTTAGCAACTGCCCGTGAACACGCGACTGAGGAGGTAAATTCGGCAACTTGGAGATCTTGTTGCACGGGAAAGAAGGCACAGAAACGGGCGACGCCTGGTGACCCAGCTTCTGATTCTGAATCCTCTTCTTCATCGTCTGCTTCTGGCTCTTCGGGAGAGTCGTCATCGCATGTTTCTACTGTGCGCTGGCTCATCTCTTCCAACTCCCGGCTCCACAGACGGACTGGCCCGTCCACTACCAAATGCGGATTGGTTTGCAAGTTGTGCCAAATTGGCAGTGGGCTCCGTGACGCAAAAGTAAGGTTTCCTGCTGCGACTTGGTGCCGAAAGTGCGCTCTCGATCTTCATCTCCGAACAGTTGACCTACCGTAGCTCCCACATGTAGATCCCTTCGTTTCACCTCTGTTTCGCCACTGCAGCGGCCATTGTCTACAATGGCATGGCATAGCCACTGTTGCTCTGCCTCGCTGCTCGGGGCCATTGTCCGCACTGGTCCTTGGGTTGGCATAGCTGCTTCGTGCTGCTCTGCCACACGCCATCATGACGACAAAATCACCAGCTAGACTAAAAAAGTGAGAACGCAAAACAGATTGTTTGGATTTGTTTGAAATTGCGGCTTTCGGCGGAAGGTTTGTTCTGCCTCAAGCTTCGCTCTGCCTCGTTTCCTCGTAGCAGTGTCGGGGCTCCGAGTTCGGTTTGACAGTCCTCTCGTGTGTAGCTAGTGGCCATGGACCCAGAGTTTGAGGCGGAATTGAAGGCTGAAGGAGTTCCGGAGGAGCTGATCACGTGGATGGCCACGCACTGTAAGACTCCAGCCAGATTTGCCTTTTATGTGGACTCCAAGGAAGAGATTCAGAGTTTGATTGTGGATCAGGTTGCGGCCACCCGTGGTAACAGATCGGTTCGTGCCGCCTTGGTTGAACTGTGGAGGAAGCATTCTGCGGCACAGGAGCGCAAACTGAGTCGGGCTGCAGCGGGAATTGGTGACCAAGATTGGGAAGACCCCTTGGAATCCTTCGTCCGGGACCGCTTGTATGCTGCCTTCACTAGCTACTACCACTTCAAACTCAGGCCTACCACTTCCTTGTGCGACAACCTCCTCGCTCGATTCAAGCGTGAAGTGGACCGCAAGCAGTTCACTGTGGTTCCTGTTGATCGCGTTAGATCACAAGCCTGTGCGGGCTTGCACCGCGCTAAGCGGCTCAAAGTGTCTGATACGCTGTCCATGGACATCGCCGCAGCTGAGGATGACACCGTCGCCTTGCAGAATGTGCATGACTACATTGATCGGCTCCAACTCCTGCTCACTGGTTGGGCCGTGGTGGGCTGTTTTGAGGTCAGGGATGCCAAAGGTGAAGTGCGCGCCGCACGATGGCTTCCATGGGACCTTGCGTGCGAATACGTTGAGCGTGCCAAGCGCAAATTGGTGCTCAACTCGGGCAAGACTGTGGACTTGGCAACCTTGCGAAAGGCTGACGAGTCCACTCGAGATGACTTCACCATGGGAGAGGCCATCACGAAGTCCTTTGTAGATGCCTCGCCTTTTTGGTTATTTGCAGGCTCCGAGGTTGCACCGACGGTAGCAGCCAAGGAACTTACCTCGGCCAGCCCACGGGAGGTAGTACCCTCCTTGACGGTTTTGCGCTCGGATAAGGAGAGGAGAGATAAGTCTAGGCCCTCGCGGGTTGGCGAGAAAACTGCCCGTGGCAAGCCCATTTGTCCCGAGTGGAATGAGGGTGGCTGTCAGGCAAAGTGCCCTAACGGGAAATTGCATGTGTGCAACTTCTTGTTGCAAAACGGGCAGGTGTGTGCTGCAGCTGGTCACAGGCGCTGCGAGGGCCACTAGGGACATCTCCCCCGTGCTTCGTCCGTGGCGGCGCAGCCGGGGGATCGTGTGACTGTGCCTGGAACGCAGCTGCGCTTGCATGACCCTCCCTCGCGGACAGTTAGGACACTCCCTAGTCACCCTGGTCCTCCGTTTTGGGGTTTAGGCTTGCCCCAACCCCCACAGACCATGAGAGCGGAAATCTATGGAACGCAGCGTGACCCATGTCGCGTGTCACCCACTTGCGCAGATTTTCCATCGGCATCGTTGTGCCAAAGGAACTTGTCATGTGCGCCAGCTTTGAGTTCCGCGACTGCCGCGGTGCAACACTTCAAGCGCAGGCTTGGCCCATTGAAGTGCCCATTAGTTGTCCTGTGTGCTTTTGATGTCGTCGGCAGTGCTTGGCTTGCTTTGAAGGAGCTTGGTTGCCCTGTTGTGCTTGCCCTTAGCTCCGAAGTTGATCCTTGCGCTTCGGAAGTGCTTGCGAAGCGTTTCCCGGCACTGGTTCAGTTAGGTGCGGTTGAAGCGGTGACCCAACATGCACTTCGACAGGTGCTGGAGGGAGTACAAGCCTCCGCATTCCTGCTGGTCGGTGCTGTCTCTTCGCCGGATGTCTCTGCACCGGGGCCTGTCAGGAGCCAGGGCGCACGCCTGCTTCAGCAGTTCAGGCGCATTTTGGAAGTGTGTCGAGTTTTGTGCGCGGACAAAAAGCTTGAATTTTTGTGGTTGCTTGAAACCGTGGCTTCCATGGGCACTGCTGGTGCTCGTCGCGTGTCCACACAACTTGCCAGCAGTGATGTGACTGCATGGAAGCCGTTGCGCTTCAATGCTGCAGAGCTTGGTTGGGTTCGGCGTGACCGCCTCTTCTGGTGCAACCGTGACTTGGCGGTTCCGCTGCAAGGACTGCTCAATCCTTGCTTCAGCAATGTTGCAGTTGAATTGATGTTGCCTGAGTCTGACCGAGGCTTGCCTGCATTGACCTCTGTGTTTAAAGGACAGTTTCAGCCTGAGTATCTTGCAGAAGCTGCGACTTCTAGGTACAAGGAGGGCCGTTTCTTGCCTTTCACGCGCTCCTTAGTCAGCTTGACAGCAAGTCGCGCATCCTCCGCTGCGGCCCTAAAGCGCCAGCAAACACATGCCTGGTATGATAGCTCCCAGTATGAAGCGTCAAACTTGTTGTGGCATCGCGATGTTGGAACGTGGCAAACTCTCAGCGCTGAACATCGTGAGGTCCTTTTGCGGTTGCCACGTGGTCACACGCATGTGGGCCCGTTGAAGGGCCAAGAGCGAGAGCGGTGTGCAGTTTTGGCACGCTCCTCCCACGTGCCTTCCCTTGCTATCTTGTTGTTCTGCTTGCTGCATGTTGCATCTGGCTCCGTCATTGCACCGTCTCCGTCGCTGTGTGATGCAGTTGACCCGGATGTTGCAGCATACTGTGCCAAACTGCCTCCGCCTATGCTTCAGGTGGTCGGTCCCTTCCGTTCCTTGCTGGCGGGCCCTAGTCATCACTTGCATATCTTTTGGCATGAATGCATTCGTCGCGGTAAGAAATTTGACCCAGCACCTGACCTGAGAGAACATGATCTCCGAGGTTTGAGTGCTGTTGCTGCTGGACAACAAAGAGGTGGTGAGACGCACAAGCATGGCTTGCCGCGCCTCATTCCGTGGGGCTTCAGTGCACGCGAACATGTCCAAGAAGCTTTGAATCATGTCACGGTTTATGGCCATCCGTATGCCTCGGGCCCACTCCTTCCGTGTGACACTTCCTTTGCAATTGATTTCGCAGCCTCGCAAGGGAGCAATCTTCCTGCATGGAGGCGGAAGGTGCTCCGGGAATTGGTTGCCGTTGCAAAAAGTCTGGAACCTCTGTCGGCCGCGTTGCGGAAGCTCATGTCGGAGCGGGTTACTCGCGTCGCCGCCAAATTCCATCTCGGTTTCTTGCTATGGCTGCAGTGTGTCCTGAGCTGGCCGGATGTGAACTTCACATGGCGCCTCATTGTTGGTTTTGACATCGTAGGTGATGTTGAAGTCAGCAACGTGTTGCGCATGACCGAACCATCGCACACAACAGAGTCTGTGGACGGATTGTTGAACTCCAGTGCCGCCTTTGTCACACACCTCTGCGAATCCATGCGCCCTCATTCTCTCGAAGAGTGGGATGAAGAGTTGTTGCGCTTAACGCAAAAGGACATTGACAAGGGCTCTGGAGAGGGTTTCTTTACTCGACAAGCTATGGATGCTCGCTTTGGCGTGAACTCCTGGCGACCTTTGCCCAGGTATGTTATCAAGCAAGAGCATAACAACAAGTTCCGAGCCATCGACAACGGTAGGACTGCTGGGCACAACGGTGCCACCATTACACGCGAGCGCGTGCACACCACAAGTCTGGAGTTCTTTGCTTCTGCTTGCAAGCAGTTCCTGTTGCACAAGACCTTCCTTGAGCAGCAAGCTGCTAGCTGTAATATGTGCTTGAAGCTGGAGATCGGCGTTGACGATGAGGACGATGCCTATCGTAATTACCCCACGGCAGACACGCAACAACACTGGTCCGTTGTGGCGGTGTTTCATCGTCACTGGAAGACCGTTGCCTTCATGCCGCTTGTTGGGCATGCCTTCGGTCTCAAATCCAGCGTGAACAACTACAACAGGGCACCGGGCTTGTTGGTCGCAGTGCTAACCCGCCTTCTTGCAGTGTGCAACACGCACTTTTATGATGATTTCGGAGTTGTAGACACAAATCTGGGCAAGGGAACGGCCCGTGTATGCTTGCGTGAACTTGGAGGTTTGATCGGAACAACTTTCAGCGAGCACAAGGGGCAAGCTATGAGCACGATGGTCACGTACATCGGATGCCAATTGGACTCCAGCCGAGTGTTCAGCCATGGTGAGCTAGGCATAGATTGCAAAAAAGGGCGTCGCGAAGCCTTGACTGCTATGGTAGAGAGCATCCAGAAGAAAGGGTTTTTGGACCCCGCTTTGGCGGGAAAATTGCGTGCCAAGGCATGTTTTGCTGGGTCGACTCTTACTGGTCGATGTTTGCGAGGTTGTGAAAACGCACTGGTCGCGGTACAGTACGGCACTTTGCCAGCCGAGATCGCATCTCCAGTGAGTGAATCCTTGCAGTTTCTTCGGCTTGCGATGCGTTTGTTGCCTGGGCGAACCGTCAATTTGGTTCCAAATCCCGCAGACTGCATTGTTGTTTACACAGATGCGATGTGGGAAGAGGGCCAACCTGCCGGCATGGCCTTCGTAGCGTTCTGTGCCAAGTGGTCAAGACCCAAGTGTGCTTATTTGTGTGTCCCTGATGATTACCTCCGGGCGCTCCTTCCCCGGAAAACGCAAATCAACCAGGCTGAAGTTTTAGCCGCGGCTTTGGTGCCCCAGGCTCTAGGCTCTTTGCTGCAGGGCTGCGATTTGTTGCATTTTGTTGACAATCAAGGAGCATTAGCCGCTCTCATCAAGGGCTACTCGCCTCAGGAGGATTGCTCGGCCCTGTGTGCCATGATTCATTTGCTGCATGCTCGGACCCAAACGCGGTGCTACTATGAGCATGTGGAAAGTAACGCCAATATCATTGACGCTATGTCCAGGCAGGGCGTCCGAGCGGCGCTACCATCATGGGAAGTTTTGGAAGTGTCGCTGCCCCCTGTTCGGCACTTACCGGACCTCACACTGGGAACGCTACTCGCTGCTTTCGGTGATGACCTTTCGTGTAAGCGAACGGTTCACTGAGTAACTGCTTGAAGCTGCTTCCCTTTCTTTCCACATTGGGAGAATTGTTTTCCACATTGGGTATGCAGAGGGGCCACTCCATTGGGGCATGCAGGTCTTTCCTGCCTTCCCCGTGGATGGGCTTTGGCATAGCTCACATAAACGATCTATCGAGCCAGATGTGAAAAGAAACGAGTCGTTGCTGTGAGAGTGTATCATGTGCTGGAATTGCTAAGTTTCACGGTGGGCAGGCCAGGTGAACTTAAAATTCCATGTCGCATGCCATGTCTCACTGCAGGTCTCAGCCTCAAGCTTTCGTTTGACCCTCACTTCGTTTCCCTTCCCTCCCGTGTAGCTCCTGCGGAGCTTGTTGCGGGGGAGTGGGACGTGCCTCTGCAGTCACTCTGGGTGGGTATGCAGAGGGGCCACTCCATTGGGGCATGCAGGTCTTTCCTGCCTTCCCCGTGGATGGGCTTTGGCATAGCTCACATAAACGATCTATCGAGCCAGATGTGAAAAGAAACGAGTCGTTGCTGTGAGAGTGTATCATGTGCTGGAATTTCCGTTCGCAAGAAGAATATATGCTTCTCTCGGATAGTTTGGCACGAGTCGTTGTCGTGTCCACTGCCTCAGTGACTCAGGATTGGTTCCAGCTTTACATGCTCTGGAATTTCCTGCAGTCCACAGGCATACTAGGCCTTTTGTTGCCAATTGTGCCTGAACAAGTTTGATCGCGATTCGTGTCATGACAGTGGAGTATTGAATCAGTATTGTTCGCATCGGACCCTTTGCGAGGTGGGCACGGGGGTCATTACGGCGGAGGGTTTGGACGTAGGCGGCGGTCTTTTTTCTGAGCTACTTTGCCAACGTTCTGCATCGTGAACCAGACCAGCGACTTCGCCACGAAGATGTGGCTTTGACTCCCGAGCCCTTCAGCGTCATCAGCTACGCAGCCACGCTGCCGCGTCGCAAGGGTGCTGCAGACGGAGCCACGATGAGCCGCGGAGCCGGATGAGGTGTACAGTGTACTGCCTCTCTCTACAGGACTCTATCAGCACCGCAGAAACGATGTGAAAGCTTGCCATTGCCGTGTGCATGGTGTCAGTATGTTGCAGCGTATGCAGCCATCTCGAGCCAATGATCGGGAAGCAGACCAAGCTTCTGTGACAGAGTTACTATAAACATAACACCTAGCAAGTTGAAGCCTTTCTACGACGATGTCGCAAGCAAAGACCTGACGTGGCATGTCACATCATGTCACGACGGAGATGCCGTGGCACAAGCCATGTTGATCTTGTCACAGCTGGTGGTGGTGCATGCCGCATCGCAGAGCGGGGAGGAGTTCTGGAGCTGTGCTGGAGATGGGGCCTTCTGGCACAGCTTTCGAGAGACCGAAGCTTGGCAACACAGCCTTGTGCTCATAGTCGAACTATGCCTGCATGTGCCTGCCAGGTTGTAGTTGATGAGTTACCAATGGTGCTGTGGTTTGCTTCGTCTTGCTGCATCGTGTTGTTGCTGCAGATGGTATGAAATTGCTGCAACATGAGAGAACTCAAGTGAAGTGGCCAGGGTTAATTCTGACAAACTCTGCTGACCTTCTCGCGCATGAACAAGCCGACCAAACAGCCGCACTGACCTCCGATCCTGATTGCCAGAGACAGTGCCGAACAGAGACCCAAAAAGAAGCAGGCACGGTACCTCATGTACGATGAGCTTAGTCTGAGCCTGAGACGAGCTCGTGCGGTGTGAAGTTTGGAGGTTCTGGAGGTTGGGCAGGTGGGAGTATCCGGTGGAGCGGAGGTCCCTTGCGAACATCGCTCGGCAAACTGGCTGGCTTGCTTCCGGCATCCTGGCAGAGAAATGGGTTGATCCGTTCTGAGCAAACTGAATGATTAAATGACCCACCATCAACAGAAGCGGTCGGACGGCGACATGCAGGTATGGCAGCTACAGGAAAGTGCCTTGGCAGACCCCAGGCGGGTAAAAGAAGGCTATGCCTGCCCAACAGGCGCGCGAGAGAAGATAGGGTTGTTTCGAGGGAAGAACCATGCGGGCACCTTGACATGGTGGTGGCAGGCGAAGCGTTTCTGATGCTGCTCGACATCCTGCTTGCTGCAGCCTCAGCATTCCTCGACTGCACCAGTGTGTTCAGGACTTGAACATGCAAAAAAACATGGTGCCGTCTCTCGAGTTGACCCCCGCATTAGTGCATGGCATGTTGCTTTGTTTTCGGCTAAAGTAAGTATCAGACGCTGTTTGGAGGAGCCAACACGGCGCAGTTTTGGAAAAGGTTTCGCAGAGTCTTACTGTCCAGAAGCCCTCACGATGGTGTTTCAGTCAGACTGCAACAGCATTTTGAGTTTCATTTGCACACTAAATTCTGGCATTGAGCGGTATTTGCACACTTGTCTGTGCTTTCTTCATGTCGCGGGTTTCCAGCTTTTTCTTTCGTCTTTCTGTGGCGAGGGCGTGGCTTTGAGCTCTTCGATTTTTGTGGTGCTTTCGAGGCCTGAGTGTGGGACAAATATCAGGTCCCGAGCGCATGAGGTTGACGCGTGGATGCTCTGCGGAACGGATGAGGTCTTAGGGGACGGTCATATGGCGGGGGAATGGACTTGCTGATAATCAGATGCACTTGTCCACGAACTTTTTTCATGGCAAGGCGAATAGCCTCTGTCATAAAGATCTTACCCAATGTTGATGAAATGTCATGAGATCGCTGCAACAGGTGAACAATGCGCTCGTCCGGGAGAATATGCCAGCTGGGAACAACATCATTGAGAAGCTGGGCTTTGAGTGAATCTTCTCCAGAGTATCAAGCTGGATTCAGTCCTTACTGGATGTCCTCAGTTTGTAGCCTTGCATCCAAGTACGCAGCCCTTGTTCAAAACCTTGGCGATGCTGCAGGCGGGGTCGCTCATTCCAAAGTTGGAAAAACACCCAGCAACGATACAGTGAAACTCCATCATAGTACTGAGCAGAGTGAGCCAGTTTTGGTGGATGCACTGGCCAGGAGCGCGTGCCTTCCTTGGAGGCTGGCCAAGCAGCTGCATCCTTGCTCGGCCGTGATCCATGAAAATGCATGGCAATTTTGACTGCTGGCACATTCGCCTGTACAAGACCGGCCCCTGTTCCAAGAACTCTTCGACAGGCTGTGCTTAGTTCTGGATGGCCACTGTTCGGCTTGTTGCTCGACGGCAAAGTGGTTACAAAATCCCCGTATGACCTGAAGCTGAAGCAGCGTGCCCTGAGGCTGGCAATTTTGCAAGAGGGTCTTTTCGGACTGGGTCGCCTGGCGGCTCAAACGTTGCTGGTTTGCAGGAGTATATCAGTATATCACAGACTTTAGTCGGCAGCTCTCTGATACGTTGGTGGTCAAAGTAGGCCTTGGGGAAGCCAGGGGATTGTCATGCAGATCCAAGGCAGAGCTTGATTCGTCACTGGGGCACCATGGCCGAGGTGTGCAAGGACCGCTTCTTGCCAAGTGCACCTGATGTTTGCGCTCTCATCCGGCTTCTCTTCTACCCGCACCCCCAAACAAACAAAGAGCTGGCCTTGTGCTGGCACGCTGGAGGAGGCGCAGCCCTTGCATACGGCGCTACAGACTTGGCTGGATACGGTGCCTGCTCCAGAAGTGGCCATGCGTCTCAGTTGGAATGGTAGTGTGCCTATCGCGAGAACAGAGCCACGAGCGTCGAGACGGTTTAGTGGGAGTGTCCTAGCATCCATTCCCGCGTCTCTTCACAACAAGGCCTCCACTTCTGCCTGGCACTCGACTTCAAGCGCTGAGACTCCAGCAACAGCTTGCTGCATCGCCTGGCCTTTGCTCACAAGATCCAGGTCCATGTCCTTTTTGGGTGCCAGCTCGCTTTGCCTCCTTTCGTGAGCAGCACTAGAGGCACCAGTGCAGCTATCCACCTTCTTGCAAGTGGACTCTTCAATGAAAAGGAGAGCCCGCCGTGGAACAGCACAGGCTAGGGTCGGAGTTGTTCCAAGATACATCACACTGCTCATTGTGCTCATTGCAGGCTGGAATAATGAGTACGGAAAGTTGCGCAGACTGCTTCTTGATTTCAGTTGGTGATTGCGGCCTTTGCACGTGCCATGATGACCTCAGTCTGAGCTAGGCTGGAGAAGGCATTCAGGACTGTGTCTTGGGGCAGACTTGTCTTTACAGGCTGGGCTGAGCCTTCGTCACAGCATGTGGGGAGTTGCCGCTGGGGAGTTTTCCAGACTTTCTGCAGTTTTCTGAACGTAGGTTGGCCATTGCTGGCGCTTCTTCATCGACTCCAAGAGGCTTTCGTCCGTGAGGCAGAGGGGTTGGAAGTTGGCCCTTAAACCACATCAAGAGCCCACTGCACTGCGTGTGAAACTGTCACAGCCACGTGATCTATAGCGCACATTCGCCCGCACGCCTTCTGTCGGAACATCGTCGTAAATTAGACGTTAAATGAAGGCGTTATCCTGGGCCAAAGCTTTTGTACAGAGATTACAGAGGTTAGCAAACAATTCTGCGTTCTGCACCTGTGTCATGTGTCTGAAGAGTGCAGCACACGAATCCGTGTGTGATGCAATGATGCACTCTTTAAACCACGCGCTCGACATGGGACTCTCACGCCCAAATGCCAGTACTGACAGACATCGCCAGAGCCACTGCGATTCAACAATGAGAAGAAGCCCATGAACATGACGTGCCCCAGACACAAGCCGAAGAAAGCAGGCCTGCCACACCTCTCATGCTCTCCGACCACACGCTTGCAGGCCCTTTGCAGCCGCGTTGACAGGCAGGCTGCAATCGAATCTGGAGTCTGCATCACGGGCTTGCCAAGCTGTTGCAGGTATGCCTATGCAATTCCGAGCCGAACAGATCCACAATCAGTGTGGGTGTGTGTACGCCGTGCAAGTGATGTTGCAACCTGCCTGCACGAATGCGATCGCACTGCTTCATATGCAGGAGAGAAGCAGCTGAGCAGCTAGACCCGGTATCGGTTTGGGGTTATTCTTTCTTTCCCTATTGTTTAAGATAGAGCCTTAGGGACACTTGTACACTTGACATCGACACCTCGTACATGCATTGAGGTCTATGAGAGATGGCGCATGCAAGGCTTCTTCCCAGATTGCTTCATGATAGTTCAAACGGTCCGGGATCTTCTGCAGCTTGGAACGCAACAGCTGCAGCAGAAGCGAGATAAAATTTCGTTCTCCGCAAGTAGTCCTCGCACCGCACTGGACCCTGTGCTGTAGGGGTCAAAAGTGCGTGTGTTTGTGTGTGGCGATTTCGTGTTGGCTGCTATAGAGCCTGGCTGAAGCTCTGCCCCGAGCTTGCGTCCATGGTGGTTCGTTTGTTCCTGACCCTGGTAAATGCCACTATGCCACTATGCCGGGCGATCCTTTACGCCCGAACAAGATCGAACAACATTGCTCCAAAGCCATGGCTCTCAACTTTATAAGACTTGAGGCCCGTGGGCTGCCCAGTGCTGGACATAGGCATGGGGTTCGTTCAGAGGTTGCTTGCTTGAAAGCATCCGCCGCGAGGTGCAAACCTTGGTGGCTGCGCGCTGATGCTCGCCAAGGACTGGGCACGTGCATCATACGCTGCATGCTTCGGCTCGCTAGGCCAGCACAACATTCAGGGATGAAGTCGCAGTGTGTGACGGGGATTGACATGCACTTGGGTGCAGGATGGGCACCCCGTCCTGGCGGTGGAGCCGGTGCCTGTGCTGGCTGGTTTGCTGCGGGCATCTGTTGAAAGAAATGGCTGCGTGAATGCACTCAGACTCAGTGCATCATATGACGACTTTAGTTGTCCACGCACACTTTACACGTTCTGCATTTTGGGTGCATTGGAGGTTTGAAGAACGTGGAAGTTGTAGACACAGCCGTGGGTCGAAGCTCCGGCAGCAGCTCTCTGCAGTGTACTCATGGGCACAGCGCCACTTGTCGTGTCCTCCCGTTACTTTGCTTGCATTTACGCAGAGAGTGTGCTAGAGACTCTAGAGATACTGTGCAAGCATGGCAACCAGCATTAGAAGGCTGGTCGATGTTGCGACCAGTGCCGCTGCAGCCAATGTGACAACTGAGCCTTGCCTGGAAGTCGCTAACTGCGTCGCTGCTTCAGTCTGCCCCTGGGGCCCCTGGAGCCTTGGTCTGTCCGACTCAGGAATCACTCGATTCTATTCTCCATTCACGGGGATGGCCGCAGCCCTGTGCCCTGAAAATCGATGTCGAAGGCTCCGAGTTCGAAGTCGTGCAAGGCTCCTGGATCGAAACTTGCACGGACATGGTGCCGCGATGCTATCATGTCGGTGCAGTGACAGGCGCAGCCGGGACTTTGTCTCGCTGGCCGCACATCTTCCTAGAATTGCACCCCTATGAGCTGCGAGACCGTGGAAGCTCCAGCAGCAAGGCTGCGAACCACTTCAGAGGATTTAAGAGAAAGTTGTGTATCAGAGCATAATGAGAAGCTCCGTACCTGCCTAGACTCTAGACTCTGGACCTACTTAGTGCGGGACATCCTATTGGCCGAAGCTGAGGTGCGGACACATTCGATTTGCTCCTTCGCATGGGCTACAACATGTTCGAAAGCCGAGACCTGAGGAATCCTGAGTGGGTTCCAGTAGTTGCAGCAGCAGATGGCAAGAAAGGATTGTGTACCGGGTCGGACTCAAAGACACTATGCTGCTGTGTAGATTCTTCTGGTATACGGTATACTGTGTGGCTTAGATGCCTAGGCTTTTGTGCTTCTCGTCTGAGGTCCTCCCTGCGGTACCAAAGTCAGTCCCGTAGAGAGGCCTTGGGCTGGGCATCTTGCATGCAAACGGTGATCCTTATGCCTTCAGTGTCATTGTAACATCCAGCTTGACAGAGCTCATTTTTGAGCCAGAGAGCAAGAGCTGCACGATCACTCAGTCTCTCTCTGGAGACACTTTCCACTCCGGCTCACTCCAGACTCCCCACTCCTCACTACACACTGCGCCCATTCCCTGCTCACTCCGCACCCTCGCACTCCTCTCCTCTCGCTCTGCTTGCGCTCACTTCTCATGCTTCCCTCTCACCATCTCTCACCCATCATCACGCCTCACTCCCGCTGAGGAATGGCACCTACTCCAGTGCGCGTTGGATTGAGGGCCGACGGGTGCCCAATGTGCGCTTGCCGCGAGTCGCGGATCACTGCGCCTGTGACTTCTGCCGGCAGTTACACAGTTGTGACGGGCATGCTACTCAGGGGATATGCAAGCCTTGCAGTATCGCCAGTATCGGTTTTCCACAGTCTGAGGAAGTCTTGACCTCACTCCTAGCACTTTCCTGGCCTCGTGATGTCACAAGTTGACAGGTCTGCTCACATCGGTCCGCTTCATGCCTGGTAATTTGACTCAAACCTCTAAGTCTGAAAGCAAGCTCTTGAAAGCATAGAAGCAACATTTTCAGTGTCTGGCCTGTCAGTACTGCCTTTGAGTCACAAGAAGTCGAGAGCAGTCGTGGTTGAGCAGATGAGAGCGGGACAGCATTTTCAGCGACATCATGTCGCTCATGAGCAACAGGAACGCGAATGCAATCTTCGACTGCTTGCACCAAGTGGTGTGCACCTTAATATGGACGAAGTTCTCTCACGGAAAGACCGTCCATTTCAGAGTCGTTTCGACTGCAGGTCACTTCAGTGGCGACTGTCGCTGTTGGGACTTTGATGCAGTTGCAGGAGATTGCTGCTCGTCTTACCTCCACAGTCGTTTCAGCACAGCACACAAGAGCCTCATTGATAACCATTCCGAAGATTGCTGAGGCAATCTTTACATGAGCCGCTCGCCTGGGAACTTGCTGCAGCAGCAGTGGGGCATCTGATGCTAGGGTTTTGTCCGTGGCATTCTGAGTCTGCCTCCTTCGTTAGTTTATGTCCCGCATGCCCATCCTGATGATCTGTCTAGCATGTGTGACACAATGCGACGTACCAGAAAATATAAGATCTCGACGGGCTTTCCTCTTGAGCAGAAAGCGGAAAATTCGCAGGGGCGTCCTTTTGACCCAAGATTTTTTTGACAACCCTGCCGCCAGCCCTTAGGGGCAGCCTTTCATCGTGGTGAAGCACTGCTCTGCAACTCTTGCAAGCGCCATGAGGGGGGGACGGCTGATATCATCCGCCTGGACATGCTCGGAAATGACCCGCACGGGGAGCATCCGCAAGAAATTGTCTCAGGCTGCACTGACGGCGTGGACCTGCTGTGAGTAGTAGAGTTAGGGGCAGCCGCAGTCCGAGCGGTAGAGGAGCGGTTGGGCGCCCGCGGCATCGCTACCGGATGTAGGGAGGCAAAACTCAGGTAAAAGAACAGCTGCAACAAAGACAGGGGGGGGCGGGGGGCGTGGTTTGCATTAACAACAGGAGGTTCAGGGGGTCGAGATAAAAACATTGGGGGTCAACAATGAGGGATGAAAAAACAGAGACACTGGGGTCAAAAACAACATGCCGAAATGCGCGCAATCCTGATTCCTGCCCGTGGCTACAAAGCATCCCTGCGTTGTTCAGCGTGGTGAGGCCTGGCACACTTTGTTTGCTCCAGAAATTTGCATGCACAGGCGTTGTGTGTTAATTGAGATATGTAGCCAGCTTGCACTCCGACCTTGAGCAAATGACCAGTGGAAACGCATTGGAGCACGAGCGCCTTCAATTTGCGGCAGTCTGTGGCCTGCCGTAATCACTCGGGATTGCTTCCTGGTCCGAGGCTGCGGCAGGGGTTTCAGCTCCCTTGCGGCAGCAGAGAACTGGTGGGCCGGTGAGCTGAGTGGAAACTGGCATCTCTGGCGGGAAAAGACTTGCGCTTTCCCTTCATGTGAGAGGGCGTTTAAAGATTGTTTCAACGGTGCTGCATGGTGGGCCTCTCCAGACTGTCTTGTTCAATGTGTGATGCGAGCAGTCCTCGGCAAGGCTGTGTGTTTGATATTCTCAGCTTCCCAAGCACGAATGGCAGATTCACTTAAAGTGCAACGAACTAGAAGAAGATTGCATGGCTGCTGTTCTATCATGTCTCAAGGGATGAGCTTAGTAGCCAGCGTAGCTGCGTCGAAGATGCCGCAGCCCGAGGAGTGCCTGAGGCCTTGGCGAGTCAGCTTTGTAATCTTCTCCTACACCTTCGTGAGGTCAGTTTTGATGACTAGTCGCCGCCAGCCCTAGCCGCAGGCTGTCCTGTTCCTGACTCAGTCAGCTTTTTGCAGGATTTGCAGCTCTAACATCTACGCTCCTTGTGTTCTGCGCACGTAGGCCTTAGTGTATGGAGTTACGCTGGGAAGTGAGAATTGCGAGAACGCGCCAGGCAGCAAGGGTTCCCTTGCTGGTGCCTAAGTGCCGAGAGAAGTCTTGAAGGCACATTGCCGCTTCGTGCTATTTCCTCGCCGGTTACACTGAGGAGCCAATTCCGAGCAATGTCTCCGTTGGCAAGTGACGGCCTTGTTGCAGATGCTTGTTCATGATCGACCGAAGCTGGTGAAACACGAGGTGCCCTAGCTCGTGCACGTTTGACTCTGCCGCGGGTTGGCCGAATCCGAAGCAGGCTTTGAGCGGCTGTGAGTTGCGGTTGCTTTGTTCGAACTGATCTGATTAATTAGTTGCATGGGCATCTTGTGCCCAGATGTCCACGTGCGTCCACATTCAGCACTGCCACTCCGGAGTCGAGTAACTTAGCCGCGGCCTTGCGACCTTGCCGAAAAGCGCACTGACGGAGAGAGGAGGCAGACACTTGGCCTTTCCAGGCACTTCATCCTGTTCTGGAAAGGCGCCGATGGGCAGATGGGCAGTGCTGACGCTCTGACCGAAGTCCTTAGACGTCCTTAGTCCTGGTCGGGCTTTCCAGGCCCGCGAAGCCCTCGGCCATCAGACTCTACTGGAAGCTGGCCAAGGCACAGACCAATTGCCGTGCCCGTGATTGGCATAATTACTTGCTTCTGGGCCTTGTCTGCTGCTCATGCGCAGGGCAAGCTTACATTGTGGGTATCTCTGTCGGCCAGCACCTCAGGGGTTAGAAGCCAGGGGCAAAACACCAGCTAGGGGCACGGAAGCGAAACATGCATGGTGGTGCACGGCGCGTGCTGCGCAAGCAGAGCCGGACAACTTGATGGGCATCTAGTGGTGCGTTTTCAGCCATGGCGATGCTTCTTGTCCGGGTCCGGCCTCTGTGCACGTATCAGTGAAGCCTTTTCATCGCAGCACAGCACCGAAGCTAATGGCTTTCGAGTGCCAGGTTGGATTGCACATTAAAGCCTTGAGCCTTCGGCTCATCTGATAGAGCATGGTTCAACCATGTAGGAATGACACATGAAGTGCTTGGTTCTCGGGGAATGCGTGGGAAGCTCCAACACGAACCGGGCACCAGATAAGGCGGTCAAGGTCAATGCCTACTAGACGTAGACTAAGATTCCCACGGTCACTTCAGCGAGGAGCATCTCCGCACCTGAGGCAATGCCAGGATATTTCTTGGCCCTTCCAGGCACAATCGAGCCATCAATTGCAGCTGCCCTGCGGGGAGCACAGCTTGCGATGATTCCAATATGCTCTGACCTTCAGCAGGGAGTTTCGCGCGTGAAGTCAGGGGTGTGTTGTAGTTGGTCTTGTGCTGTTCTGCGCTCAGGTTCGTAGGAACTTTCTTGACATCTTCCTCCGCCCAGACGATGAATCAAATGATCGAGGCAACGGCGGGAAGCGCTAGTTCCACTCCCCAACCGCTTGCGTGTGGTACCGTAATTTGACCGAAAGACTCTGGCGGAGCCTGTGGGATCTACCTGTTTATGTCAGCCAGGTGTCTTGCTTTCGGAGGCTCCATGATATGTGCTGTCTTAATGGCTCTCCCAAGCCTCAGAGATGCCACAGGAGCTCACGATCAAACTTGCAGACCGCTTAACAAAACTTCGTCCACGGACTTTGCAACATTGCAAGACGAAGAAGCAAGAAGCGGTGATGACGTCGAATCATGGGTTTCAGCTGCGCCCGCAGTGCACCAATTAGTCGGACGACGGCAAGTGCACATGGATATTGCGCGCTGACCCATGCTCCTTTACTTGTGCGTGTATGTCCACCATTGTTCAGGTCCATCGCGACGCACGCATGAAGCGGACTGCAATGAGACCACTCCCGCCGACCGCTTACTGTGCACCAACTGGTCGCATGCTTCTTCTTGTGTTCTTGTAGTGTGTTGTGAGCGAGTGTTATTGATGATGCTGTGAGCTAGGTCGGGGCAGCTGAGCTCCAATGAAGCAGCGCGAGCTTGTCTCAGCAGCTTCATTGGTTCGTTGGAGATTTTGCAAAGGGAGTGCGGAGAGAATGAAGACCGCACACAGGCAGCATGAGTTAGTATGAGGCATCCCTTCAGTTCCGCATGTCTAAGCTGAGATGTCATTGATGTTTCCAGGTCATTTTGAAACATTTTGAATTTCCGTGACAGACCCACCCACCACCCGACAGCCACGACCACTGCCTCCCGCCGCCTGCCACAGCGCAGGAGAAGGCCCTGTGGCGGGCCGTGGCGGGAAGGGAGGCATGAGGCGACAATTCCGGGAGGCTGGGAGGTCAGCCGTGGCGTGCAGCATGCTGAAGAGGCTTGTGGCGAGGAGCAGTGACAACAAAAATGTGGTTGGAGCGTAGTGGCAGGAGAAGGTTCGCAGTCCAGGGCTGTTTGGCGGGGTACGAGATTTTGCCATGAACGGTTTTTGCAGACACGGTTAGGTATGCGAATTCTGTTCACTGTTGGCTCCTCTCCGTGCTGACAACAGATTTTGGATTTCAGTGTAACTGTGGAGCTGAGGCTTTGCAGCAGCCGCGGGAGCTTTAGGCCTCGTCACCTTAGGTGTTAGCAGCTGAGTCCGAAAGCACATGCTGATCCGCTTTCTCAGTATTAGGGCGTGCATGCTAAGATCGGCACGACGAGCTGCACCGCGGCAGTGGCTGCAACTACGATGGCACAAGTCTTAGCTGGAGCCCGGCTATCTGCCGCCAGCTCGATGCATAATTAGTTGAATCGAATATAATCGAATGAACTGCTCAAGCCTCTGAGGCTACATACGCTGCCCTGTACACCCCACTGAAGGTGACGAGGGACAGTGGACAGTTGATAGCAGTTACTAGATGCATCTGAACGCGTGGTGCAGTCCTGACAGCAGCTCCTAATCTGCCTACTCGGCCTACTCTCCTGTGCCGGCGCCATTGTCGCCGCTGGAGGTACGGAGTCCGTACAACACTCACGTCGGTGCCATAAGCGGGTCGGCTCCTTGCGTGTGCACAGGCGTCAGGCCCTGGGAACAGCATTGTCCATCCCTGTTGGCAGGTCACTGCCGACCCTGATGGGTTTCACAGCAGCCTTGGGCACCGGCTTATGTGCAGAAGCCTTGCAGCGCCTGCAGGGTATTAGAAGCATGACACTATGCCGATGCCTATGTCCTAATCTTGTGCTTCCCCCCATGCGCCGAGGTTTCACCTTGGTTACCACATGCAGCCTGGCTTTTCGGGACCCAATGGATGTTCGCTGATGGCGGCATGAGCCGCCATACATTTGCCCAGCTGCAGGATGCAAACCTTGTGGCAGATGCCGCATTTCTACTCGCTAGCATGGCCACGACGCTTAAACTTGCCTGCAAATGGCTGCTGCAATGCTGCAATCCGGCTTGAAAAAGCGAAGAAACTGAGCAAACCGAGGCTGCACAGGAGCGACTACCTTCAAGGGGGTTACAAGATGCTGCTCGTCTCTTTGGTCAGGGTCACCGTGCTGACAAAACACGGAATGTTTCTGAACAACACTCTGTGGCAAGTGGTGCATCGTGCTGTTGACACGAGATCCTAGGTTTCCGCTGTCTGATGAATCAGGCAAACAAGCCTACTGTATCCTCGTGGCCACCTGGCTTGACAGCTTGAAGCCGTGAAACCAGGCATGGAAACGGCTGCAATGTCCAAGCCGTACTTGGCAGCGCTCTGCGTTCTGCAGCTGGCTTACTGGCCTGGTAATTTTGCAATGCCTTGTTCACAGAGAAGTAGCAGGTTAACGGTTAGTGGCTACAATCTTCTTTTGGTCTCGCCCTGCAGGCCGTGGGCCATGTCGGCCAGCGGCGCTGCCTCCTGGATGCTGCCAGCGCAGTTCCCAGTTACTGTCGCGTGGAGACCAAACCAAGCCGGTCATCGTCCATTGTTAGATGCCGACGTATCGCCGACGAGTCTTTGTTTGCCTCGAGGTCGGAGCTGCCTTGCCCAGTTTTTTCTGGTTCTGGCCACAGTAGCTGTGATATCTGTCGGTGAGGGTTTCTCCCAAGCTTTCGCTCGTCTGAATGCGAAGGTTTTGATCGTGATACATGTTTGCTCCATGTCCAAAATCTTAAAGCTTCCAATCATTCTGTTCCAAAGGCAGGTCACTGAGCAAATGTTGGGAGCGCCTCGTCCGGATCAAAGGTGGCACACACTCAAAGACTTCGAAAGAAGGCCGAGTGCTTCCACATGCAGCGATGGGCTCAGCAACTCCTGTGGCTTCGTTTGCATGCTGTTGTAGCCTCAAGCGACGCTCACGCGAGTTGGTTGAAACAGTTCCATATGCAGGACGCTTCTTTCTTGGTTCCCTGCGACTGCCTCGGCATCAGCCTGCTTCCATCGCAAAAGTGCGTTGTGTTGAATCGGCTAATCTCACGGGCCAAGTCTCTATCTGGCATTTGCAGCCAAAAGCCAGGTCCTACTTGATTTCGATGCTGGTGCTGTTCACGGCATTTTCACGGGCATCAGAAAACAGCGACACCACTGACGATGTGCAGGCAGCTCATGTTGGTAAGGACTTGAAGAAGCGGTGGAAATCTCGACGTATCAAGTCTTCATGTTTAGAGCAAGAGCTACGTCAATCACCACCTTCAAGACAGTCCTCCTGTGCAGGGGACAACCCACACGGATCGAGGCGTTCTCGAGCCATCATGGAGAGCCCTGCTCCTAGCGCGAGCTTGGCCCAAGCACGAGACAGCACTTCGTTGACTGAGGCATACATGCGTTCCTGCCTGCTGGGGGCGTGTCCGCATGAGCAGGCTTGCCTGCTGTTGGGCGCATCCTTCAAGCTTCCCAAGCATGTTCTGGGACAGGTGTGTC